GGCCGCTCCCGCCCGGGCCAGCGGCGCGCTCGGCCCACCCAGGGCGCCCACCCGGCCGCCCCTGCGCCTCTCCCGGACACCTAGCCTAAGAAAGGCAGCGACAAAATGGAATCGCGGCTCGTCGATGCACTTCCTCGTGGCGGCCGCAGGCAAAAACCACAATCAGTAAAATAAAGCGCAAGGAACCCATCCGCCGAATACAAACCCAAAGTCCCCTACCTTCGGCCTTGGGATGGCAACCTGGTCCTGTGTGCTCTGACCCACGGATCCAGCCCTTTCTTCATGAATTATTCCGGCCAGTCAGGATTTTGTGCATTTTTTTCATGAACACCTGTTTTAAGTAAGGGGTAAAGACCTTATTGAAAGAATTGTCCTTAAAAAATAACCTCTGCATACGTATGTCCATCCAGGCATGCATGCGTGTTTGCACACACACATATGCACACGGAATAGCCATGTACACGGGAGCGCCAAACTAGGCAGCGGGATAATGGGAGAGTCGGTTGGTTGTGAGCATGCTCGCCGGGAACAGATCCACCCTCTGTTATTCCTCTGAATAAATATAAATCACGACCAGAAACCCAAACAGAAGCATCCCTCTCGAATTCCTGCTGCTGAAAAACACGGAATAAATTCAGCTCTCAGACACAGAATCTAATCAGCAGCTGCTTTCTGGATCTAGAGCCAACCCCATGCCTCTTGTCTTTTCCACTAGGAGTCCAGACCTTTTTTGAAAGGGGTTTTAACCTTTTAAAGATACAGTACACCAATTATCACTTTTGAATTGCTATCACCCTTAAGAACAGGAAGCTAGTCCCATGCCTACAGCCACACAAGGCAGGCTTGCATACAGTGGCAATTATTTCATTTATTGGTGCCCTTTAAAACTATATAGTATATACACATATATATTTCATATATATTACAGATATATGGAGAGAAAATATGCAAATACAAGGCATAAGTCTAGACATACACATGATGGGCTTCTCAGGGATGAATTGGCATGTTGTATAAACACCATGATCCTTATCTTCCACTTCTGAACACACATGTTCACTGGGTCAGATGATCAGGGGACTTGTCCACAGAAACGTCACCTCACACCAATTCCTTACTGTTTATAAAGGACAGGAAGCTTACAGCACGGTTAAGGAAGTAGGGACCTCTGCGCCTGCCCCAACAGAGCGCACCTTTTGCAAAATTTTGTTAATGAATTCTTCTGTTCTTTAATCTTTTTTAAGGGCTAGGTTGAGCACAGAATGGAGGTAGAAAAATGGGGTAGAAGGATAAACTACCCCTAGCCTAAAATTAAAAAAAAAAAAAGATTCACCAAGTACTTCAACCATCCCCGTGGTGTTTATTTAGTTTGTTTTAGCTTTTAAAGAGGTAGTGGCCGGGGATATAGTTTAGTGGCACAGCCCCTGCCTGGCAAGCATGAGGTCATGAGTTCAATTCCCAGTACCCCCAAAAATAAATAAAAATAAAGAGGTAGCCCTGAGGAGAAATAAAACTCCTAGCCTGACTTGTCTTTGAAAGGGAGACAAATGCTTTTTTCAGTTTCTTCTTCACACCAGGTTCCTCAGCCACTGCTGCTGGTCTCCACGCTAATGTCAGCACCCATGCCCCGCTTGCCTAGTTCTCTGGTTGTCATTCTCTCACCTGGTCTCAAGTGCTGTCTGTGCTGCCCTCCCAGACACACACACACACACACACACACACACACACACACTTGGGTCCCTCCCTCCTTCCGGGGCTCTTTAGCAGAAAATTATCATATTTCATGTGTCATCATCCTAGCTAGCTGGGTCTGCCACCGATTGGCTGGGCACTGGCAGCCGGAAACATCACCAGCCACACAGCATGGAGCAGACTCTCCCTGGCCACAGACCTGAGCCCAGGAGGCTTCGTGACAAGGCTAAGACCTACCACAGGGAGCCTGTCACTCCTCTCTTCCTCTGGGACTGGGGTGGGGACAGGCAGGGAGGAGGGAGTGCCTATGACACACAGAGGGCGGGAGCAGGGTGTTGATTAGGAATTTAGGAATGGAAGGAAAGATGTCTCCATGTGGGTTAAAAGATGGAGACAGTGCTTCTGACAAGAATATTCTCTCTTCACATTAAAAAAATAATAATAATAACAAAGATCCAGAAGGCTGGGTAAAAAGATTTCATACCCATGGGAGTTTATCTGCTGCTGTTTATTCCCCATCTCCCATCACAGGCACCCAGTAGAATCATAATATCTCAAAGCTGTTAGGAAGCCCAGAAGGTAGTGCTGGTCCATTCTTATCTTTACAGAGAAGAGCTCTTCACCCACCAGGAAAGGAGGCATCTTCACCTGGGCTGGCAATGCATTAATGCATGATAGAGCCCAGAACTTTTTTTTTCTCCTTCAGTACTGCAGATTGAACCTAGAGCCCTGCACATGCTAGGCAAGCGCTCTACCACTGAGCTACATCCCCAACTCTTTTTCTATTTTTATTTTAAAACAGCACCTCAGTAAGTTGCTTGGGCTGGCCTGGAATTTGTGATCCTCTTGCCTCAGCTGGGATTACAAATGTGTGCCACCATACCTAGAGTTTGTAATGACCAAGAGAAATCACTTGTCTGCCTACAACAGGCTTGACGGACTGGGCATTTATCTCACTTCATTCTGTTCTTCAGACTAAACTAAGTCCTATCTCTCTGGCCTTTTGTGTAAAAGTTTTCTCAAGCCTTTCATCGTGTTTAGGCTCTAAAGAGGACCCTCCCAAGTGGGAGCAGACTGGAAGGTCATTTGGTGCAGCCCTGCATTTCATGCTTCAGCCCCCTCCACTCATTCTACACCAGGGTTTGGGTTGGGGGAAAGGGTAAATGAGTGTCCTGTATTTATTCTCTTTCATCCCCCACCCCCAAATATCTACAAGACCAAAACCTTAGTGGCCATACAGAGCGGCAAGAGAAGACCATTTCCTTGAGCTGAAGAAAGATTTTAGGTTTGGCGAGCTGGGCAGCAGGATTACTGAAGGAGCACACACTTCCAGATGCTACTCCAGACTGCTACTTCAAGAACAAAGACAAATAACCACAAGCTTCCTCACAGGGGAAAAAAATCTGGCTGCTTAAAAGAAAATTAAATCAGACTGACCTCCTACTTCTTGTCTGAAACACTGTGCTCAAAGACCCTGGCACAATCTTTACAGAATTCTAAGGAAATAGTATTGTGACTCAAAAATTCTGCCAGCTGCCCAACTACTTTCCCTCCATGTGATGATGAAATAAAGGTATGCTTGAAGGCATATAAATTATATCACTCCCATACCCTCTATTTTAAAAAACTGAAGATTACTTGAAGAGCTCCTCTAGGCAAGGGAAAAAGTAAGCCAGAATAAAGAATTCAAGGAAAGATATGCTATATAAGAAAATTTAATGAGAAATAAAGCTAATGAAATATAGAATTAAGTATATAACTGATATTGTCAGTATAAATCTCAATTTAATTGTTCAAAGTTTTGAAAGATACTATTTAAATAGGTAGTAGCCCTCCCCTGATCTATAGTTTCATTTTCTACCATTTCAGTTACCTGTAGTCAACACAAAAAAAGAAATGTGAGAACAGTGAAGTAACAGAGAAGACAGAAATTACATTCACATAATTTTATTATAGTATTACATTATTAGCTATTGTTCATTATTTTATTATTAGCTATTGTTATTAGTCTTTTACCATGCCTAACTTATGAATCAAACTTTACCACAGGTTTGTATTTTCAGGAAAAAACACAGTCTAGATAGGATTCGGTATCATCTGTGATTTCAGGCATCCTCTGGTGGTCTAGAAACATATATCCAATGGATAAGGAGATACTCCTATACATCCGTATCTATCCATCTCTCGGGTATATATGTCTGGAATTAGATTTCCACAGAATTTCAACAAGAAAATTAGAAAAACTCAATGGAGCCCAGTAAATTAACCAGAAAAAAAAGAAATAAGATGAGTAGACCATCATGGTGGGCAGACAATTCCATTATTTACTCTTCTTCCCAAGATACAGTAAAATAATAGTAAGGAATTTTGGAGGGCTGGGGACATCGCTCAGCAGCACAGCATCTGCCTGGCAAGGGTAAGGTCGTGAGTTTGATTGCCGGTACCATAAAAAAGGGGGGTGGATTTTTTTAAGTAGAAATACCCAAGGGCAAAGAAAACAGTAGAAGTCATTGGCCAGGCAAATTGAAAATGAAGACTAGAAAGGGACTTATTCCTCAGCTAGAAATATATATTTTAATGTTATAGTAAATAAAACAGCATAACACATTGCAGAAGCCTACAAAATGGACAGCTAGAACTGAACAAAGTCAAAAAACAATATGGCTACTATTTGTTATGTGAAAATAATTATTACTCAATGAATAGTATAGATATCTATTTGGAAATGCCATTTTACCTCTAACACACATTATTTTAAAATCCGTTCTATTTTCAGAAAAAGATATCCCCAAAGAACAGATACTGTGTTTGATCACTAAGTCACAGGATGCTATAAAATTTTTCTAATAATGGAAAGAAAAATCTGTCTAAGCCAAAATATCATCATGATAGGTTAAATAATGACTGCCTAAATAATGACCCACCAGATAACTAGATAATTACTTCCTAATACCCAGAAACTGAGTATTATGTTACATGGCAAGTTAATGATCTTGAGATGGGGAGATTATCCTGAATAATCTGGGGGGTCCTAAAGGTAAACGTAAGTATCATCACAAGAGAGAGGAAAAGGATACCATAAAAAGCACGTGACCACAGAGGCCAAGACTGGAGTGATGAAGCCACAAGCCATGAAATGCTGGCAGTCCCCAGAAGCTGGAAGAGGCAAGGAATGAATTCTTCCCTAGACCTTCCGGAGCAAGCCTGGCTCTGCGGACACCTTCATGTCGGCCCAGTGAAACTGATTTCACAGTTCTGGCCTCCAGAACTGGAAGCAGATAAATATGATATGTTGTTTTAAGACACTAAGTTTATAGTATTTGTTACAGGAGGCATTGAAGAGTAAAAAATCCACCATGATGAGAAACACAGTGCTTCCTAGAAATAATAATTATTATTATCAGCAACAGCACTCAATATATGCTTGGCCCTGCTAGATTATTTACATCTTATCTCATTTAATTCACATATAAGGAGGCAGTAGAGTTGGACTGCATTCTTGCAGTCCCACCACTTGGTAGCAAGTGTCACTGGTCCAGCTATGTGGTCTAGTGCTGCTCTTTTTCTGTAAAGCAGAGACTGGAGTGGCATCTACCTGCGGGAGCTGTGGAGGATTACGTGAGCTGCCTATGGACCGTGCCTGGCAATACAGGTCACAAAGGATAAGCAATAATGAGCAAGTCCTTCTTTACACCCCACTGCAGTCTGTCTTCCGGAAATTTCTCTCACCAATTCTCTTTCTTCCCCCTGGATTTGTACACAAGTCTCTCCTAGCCATTGGCGCACCCTTCAAATATCTGAAGACACTGACCCTGTCATCAGGAGTCTGAGCTTCTCCAGGCTAAAATGCCTTCAGTCATTCCTCTTAGG